CGCGTGTGCCTCAAGCACATGTGCCATTTTATCCCTCCTTGCTTGCTGTCTTCAAAGGACCAAAACTGTGGACTCCAAGTCTGCGAATGGGGAGGGATGAATGTATTCTCTTTTTAGTTCATTTTGAACTATTTTTTTTAAAAAACTCATTTAAGAGACCTTGCCATATAGGAAGACACCATCAAAGCACTCCTGACGGATGGCCATCCAGTCTCTGTTAAAAAATCTCCAAAGAAGGAGACTACACCAGACTCCAAGGGAGCATCTTCCACTGTTGAACAGCTCTTACTGTCAGGAAGTTCTTCCTAATGTTGGGGTGGTATCTCTTTTTCTGGAGTTTGAATCCATTGCTCCATGTTTTAGTCTCTGGAGCAGCAGAAAACAAGCTTGCTCCTTCCACATGACATCCTCTCAAATATTTAAACATGGCTATCATGTCAACCTTCTCTTCTGCATGCTAAACATACTCAGTTCCCTAGGCCACTCCTCATAGCATATGGTTTCCAGAACTTCAACCATTTTGGTCACTCTTCTCTGGACATGATCCAGCTTGTCCACATCTTTAAATTGTGGTGCCCAGAACTGGACATGGGATTCCAGGTGAGATCTGACCAAAGCAGAATAGAGTGGCACCGTTACTTCCCTTGATCTAGACCAGTGTTTCCCAAACTTGTTTTGGACTTCAGCTCCCAGAATCCCTGATTGTTTGTTAAACTGGCTAGGGCTTCTGGGAGTTGAAGTCTGTTGAATGGAGAGCCAGCATATAGGTAAATCCAATTGATTGAATGGATCTACTGTTGAATGGGGAATCAGCATATAGGTAAATCCAATTAATTGAATGGATCTATTGTTGAATGGGAAGCAAACAGATAGGTAAATCCAGTTGATTGAATGGATCTACTGTTGAATGGGGTGCCAACATATAGGTAAATCCAATTGAGTGAATGGATCTACTGTTGAATGGGGAACCAGCATATAGGCAAATCCAATTGAGTGTTGAATGGAGAGCCAGCATATAGATAAATCCAATTGATTGAATGGATCTACTGTTGAATGGGAAGCAAGCATATAGGTAAATCAAATTGAATGAATGGATTTACCGCTGAGTGGGGAACCAGCATATAGGTAAATCCAACTGATTGTTGAATGGAGAGCCAGCATATAGGTAAATCCGATTAAGTGAATGGATCTACTGTAGTCAGGACTAACAACAGGATTTAGGGCATGAAATTAATAATAATAATAATAATAATAATAATAATAATAATAATTATTATTATTATTATTATTATTATTATTATTATTATTTCAGATAGCACCATCACTGTAAATACAGGTAAAATAACAATCAAACAGTTTCCTGCCCTTGAGCTTACAGTCTAATTAAGACATGACACAAAAGGAAAAGAGGATGGCAGTGTGTATGAGGTTAAGTCCAGCAGATACTGCCTCTTCTTCTCTCCTTCTGATACCAGGGCAGTAGTTGTTGGGATGGAGGGAGAGCCTTTCATCTGCTTCATGGTTTCATGCTTCATGCTTTCATGGGCCTAGGCATCGTTCAGTCTTACCTCCCCCCTCCTCTCCTTTTCCCTTCCCAAGTCAGGTAAGTCTTGCGTTAAGTAAGCAAGAACATTTTGAAACTTCTAAAGCACACCTGCAAGCTTCCAAGATAGAACTGTAGAGTTGGAAGAGACCACGAGGGTCAAACAGTCCAACCCCTGCCATGCAGGAACTCACAATCAAAGCACCCCTTGTGACAGACAGCCATCTAGTCTCTGTTTAAAGACCTCCAAAGGATGAGACTCCACCACTCTCTGAAGGAGTGTCTTCCACTGTCGAACAGCTCTTACTGTCAGGACGTTCCTCCTAACATTTAGGTGGAATCTCTTTTCCTGTAGTTTGCATCGATTGCTCCATTCCTAGTCTCGGGTGCAGCAGAAAACAAGCTTGCTCCATCTAGAGCAAGGATTTCCAGAGCAAGGGAGCAGGCAGTTCCCCACCAGGTGTAGCTGTGATGGTGGTGGATAGAGAGAAGAGCTTACCCAGCAGATCTCAAAGCATAGGCAGGTTTTAACCTTGGGTTGGACCAGAGCAGACCACTAGGAAGAGCTACACATCATAAAGGAAAAGTCACAAAAGTAGTCACCATATACAGTCATCACAGCCAGGGTTGTGGATGCTTACTAAATACAGCAGACCTTTGCTATCTGCACGGATGGGAAAAACCATGGACAGTCGCACCCCATATTATTCAATGGATGGTGACATGCATGTGTATGCATTATCGTGTACCTGCCCCATCACTGAATAATATGGGGCATGGTGAGCTGCGGATGCTCCAATGTGTGGATCGCTTGTTCAGGGTGACCAGATGTTATAACCGCAAAGGACGACAAGGCACTGCAAAATGTGGGACATTCAAGAAATGTTGGATATGACTAGCTAAAAACACTAATATAATTGTAAATTCATGCTTCTCAGTTGTGCTCAAAATGGAGGACATCTTGGAATCCTCCTGAAGAGAAGGTTGAAACATAGGATATGTCCTGGGAAAGGAGGACATCTGGTCACCCTGCACTAGCTGCCAATACAGTGGGCCTACTGTAAAGCAAACCTGAATAATCCTGAATAATCTGCATCTGTTTCTACAAACACATGCTGTGTTTCTTGTGCTTTAAGTTTGGATCACTTACAGCTAGCTTACTGTTAGCATTGGGTGTTTTTGTTGAAGGCCAGATTACAGGCATAATAGAGGACAGAGAGAGAATTAACTCCTTTAGTTTTTTGTGGGTTTTTCGGGCTGTGTGGCCATGTTATAGAAGTGTTTCTTTCTGACGTTTCGCCAGCATCTGTGGCTGGCATCTTCAGAAAATGCTGGAATGGAAGAGAGTGGGTATATATTCTCTGAAGATGCCAGCCACAGATGCTGGCGAAACATCAGAAAGAAACTCTTCTAGAACATGGCCACACAGCCTGAAAAACCCACAAAAAAACTATGAATGCCAGCCATGAAAGCCTACGACCCATGTAGAGCGCACAAAACAGGCCTATACTTCCAAGAAATGACCATGAAGGACAGAAACCAGCAAGTCTGTCCAAACATGCCATTCAACAGAAAAATATGTTCTCATCGGCTTAGAAGCTACAATTTATTAAGCCCCCGAAGTCATGAGAGAGTGTGGGACCAGTGCTGGCAAACAGCCTTATATTCACTTTCTTTGATATGTCAAAATGTGACTGTTCAACTTTTTCTTTGGATACACATGAAAGAATATTTGTTTGAAGGCATCCACTTCTAGCAGGTATTCAAGTCAAGTTCTTACCCTCATGGGGATCTTGTTATGATGGAATGGCCAATGCAAGACCATAAGAGCATTTTTTGGTACTTGAATACAAATCCTTTTTTTATTAAAATCCTTTTTTTTTTATTACACTGGAGGCAACGTTAGAATCTGATGTATGTAGAAATTCTTTATCTTCGCATTGTGTGACAGCAGCTCTTCAAGCTGCTTATAGTGTATGAAGTGGGCTCCTTGAGAGTTTTACATGCTCTTAGCCAGATGGGAAGATAAACCAACAACTACATAACATGTGGAGAGATTTTGTAGCAGCTTTGAGACTCACTGAAGTAAAGAAGTTGGCAGCATGAGCTTCTGTAGCCTTAAGTCTACTTTCTCAGATGCATTTCTCAGGTCTAAATGCATCTGAGGAAGTAGACTTTAGTATACGAAAGCTCATGCTGCCATCTTCTTTCTTTCAGTTAGTCTCAAAGGTGCTTTGAATTCTACTCCATAATGTGGTCTATGGGCCTCGGCAGACGGCTAATTGAGCCGTCTCCGAGGCCAGGAAGAGGAGGAGCAGCCACACGCGCGGCGCTCCTTCCTCTCCCTGAGGTCGTCCTCGGGGCCGCCGGCCCTCCGCATGGTCGGCGCTCCGGGGGCAACCTCCCGCCGCAGCGACCGGACGCACTGCGGCG